TTTTTTTAGTTTCGTATCGGGCATATCATTGCTGGGCACATCAACGGAGATTTACGTGTATGGTACGCAATATGCGTTCATATTGGTTACCCTGGCCATATCTGGAATGATATCTTGGTATATTTTCCTGCCCGTTTTCTGCAATCTTCAATTGACTTCCACATACGAGGTAAGTTGAGCGCTATCTGATAAGCGATTACCTGTAATATATAAATATACTTGCTCTCCAATTACACTAAATAGTAATGCTTAAAAACATACACATTGCTACAAAATTAATGTTCTCTGTTTTGAATTCGAAAAATCATTTGAACAGAATTCATACTTTGCAGAGGTGTGGAGACTTCGGCTTGCTGAAGATGATTTTCTATTCTACTTCTAAGTAATCTGAAAGCATGTTATATCATAAATATGTGTTGCACACTAAATTTTTCTGTTGAATTGTGCCGAAATTCGCATGTGAATATGTAATATGTGTAAGTGAATTATAAGTAAATTGTTGATATACGAGCATATTTCTAAATAAGCAATCGCTATATGAAACTCGGGTGAGTCAGTTATTGTCGGCTGTTGAAATCAAACACAACATCAATAGTTTTTATGGAACAAAACATTGACCAGTGCCGAAAACAATTGTGCGTTAAAGCTATTGATGAGTCGGAGCATTGTTGTTGGGCCTTGTTGCTGTCGTGTCAAGTGAAATATTTATGTGTGTTTGCCAGCAAATTGCAAATAGGAGCACAGAGACTCGTTGCTGTGCTGAACATCCAATTGTAGTTTGTTGCCAGCAATGGCCCGCAACGGCCTGCTGACGGCTATGTGGTGGTGGCTCAAAGGCTATATCTGATATCGGCTACACGGCGTATGCGTAATATTCGATTATGTATGCGTTGCGCTGTGTGTGTGCTCGTTTTTATTATGTGTTTGTAAACGTGAACGTTGAGACTGTCCGAATCGAAAGATGCCAAAATACCAAATCAAATAAATGCTTACAGTACTTCGAGCTGCGCTTCAACAGAACCACTCGTGTAGTTGCCTCGGTGCTCTTTAGCATAACCACAGTAAGTACGCAACACAAATACAAATACATACACACACACACACACAGACACAAATAACCAATTATCATCGTCTAGCTAATCTGGCTGCCTATCGTCATCTATGTGCCAGCGCTGGCCTTTAATCAGGGTACGTTTTCAATCAGATCCACTGGAGTTTGTTTCAATTGTTGCGCTTTCCGTTCACAGTGACGGGCGTAAATGTTCACGTAATTACGCCGGCGGTGTGTATTATTTGCATATTTTACACCACGGTTGGCGGCTTGAAGGCTGTCGTCTGGACGGATGTTATTCAAACCATAATTATGGTGGGTGCCATAATTATTGTTGTCATCAAGGGCACCCTGAATGCGGGCGGCCTGAGCGCGGTCATCCAAAGGAATCTGGAAACTGGACGCCTCGAATGGCCCGAGTAGGTGATCATCAACATGCTGCACACTTGAAATATTTGATATATTTTATACAATATCATATTTTTATGCCCTGAACTCATTGAAAATGGGAAATCTGGGTATAATGGTTTTCTTGAAATGTATGTAACAGGCAGAAGGAGGCGTGGCAGACCCCACAAAGTATATATGTATGTATATTCTTGATCAGGGTGGCGAGCTGAGTCGATTTCGGTTTTTATCATAATTCACCACCACCCCTAAATCCAACCCCTCACTTATAAATTTGTAAAAGGCGTATTTCAAATACACTTGTGCTTTGGCAGATGCATGCGATTCTTATAACATTGAATCATGATATGAATGTCTAATAAATATACAATCTGTCGAGTGTCATATCATTCAGCTTCTGCCATGCAGTAACGTCGCATTTAGCTTCTGCCCTAAATTGGCTAGAAGACCTAAATTAAGAGCATTTGTATTTCTGTGAATCATATGATTATGTTTTCTATTTCGTGAGCAATGTGGATAAATACTTCCACAAGCTTCATATTATTCAGTCTTTGGCATTGATGTACCTTACACCGAGTCTTGTAGCATTCAGCCCTTGTCATGCTGCCCTACAGTTTCAGAGGCCCACAGTTTCAGAGGTATTTATGGGATTAGGCTTTTTTTCTAAACGAGCAAATTATGATCAATATTATTATTATTAATTATGATCAACATTTCCACAAGTTTTATTAGCACCTTCCAGAGAGTCTCGTAGCATTCAGCTTTTGTCATGCAGCTGTCTCAACTCAAGTTTCAAGTTTTGCTTTTGTAACATTCACTAGAAGAGTTGAGCACAGTTTCTTAATCAAAGCTATGCCTTTTATTTAGGGAGAAAATTCTGATCAATATTTAGACAAGTTTCATGTTTTATTTATATTTCTGTGAATCATGAATATGTTTTCTATTTCATGATCAATGAATGCATATTATTCAGTCTTTGGTATTGATGTACCATCCAGCGAGTCTCGTAGCATTCAGCTTTTGCCATGCAGCTGCCTTAACTCAAGTTTCAGACAATGTTTCATAGATGTCGATAAATAATGATCGAAATCGATAAGTAAATCGAGTATTACTTTATCGAAATTGATTATTCATAGATGTCGATAAATAATGATCGAAATCGATAATCGAGTATTACCTATCGAAACTGATAAGTAGTTATCGAAATCGAGTATTATTTATCGAAATTGATTATTTGATGGCTTGATCTGTTGATAGATTGTTAAGAATTATATATTTAAAATGATTTATGTAACTTAAGGCAGGGCTTACACAAGTTTCATATGTTCACGATCTGAAAATTTCACGAAGTCAGTCCATCACCAGCTTTTTTACTTGTTATAGTTTCGATTTGTGAAGTTAGTCCATTTAAACAAAATGTTATTAAATAATTAAGTTCTCATAGTAAGCCCACACTGGCCACACAAATATCAATTCCTTGAAGGAGTAAGGGGATCTCCTAGTTGAGTAGTCTCTATTAGAGCACTCTTACTGGGTTGTATTTATATATTTTTTTATATACTTTAATCTCTCGAATAGATGGACATTTGATCCGAGGACGCGCATGTCCGTCTTCGCCTTGTTCATTGGCTACACAGCCCATTCGACGTACAACATCGGCTGCAACCAGATCATCACCCAGCGTCTGCTGTCGCTGCCCAGCGTGAGGGCAATGGGGCAGAGCACATTGCTGTTTGGGTTCGGAGTGATAATCCTAACGTCACTGACCTTGTATAATGGCCTGCTGCTGTTCGCCACGTACCACGACTGCGATCCGCTGACTACGAAGGTAGGTGACCTGTGTGTACTCCTGTTGCAATGCTGAGCGTAATGTGATTGACTGGCAGCTAGCCAAGGCAAAGGATCAGCTGGTGCCGCTGCTGGTTATGGACACGCTGGGCGCATATCCGGGCGTGTGCGGCATGTTTGTGGCTGGCGTGTTTAGTGCCTCGCTCAGCTCGCTGTCCACGGCGCTCAACTCAATGGCCGCCGTCTTGCTGGAGGACTACATCAAGCCGCTCAGCAAACGGCCCCTGACAGAGCGCCAGACGGCCATCACGATGCGCCTCTGCACCGTTACCATTGGCATCCTGAGCACCGTCCTGGTGTTCGGCGTGGAGCGCATGGGCACGCATGTGATGCAGCTGTTCATGATACTGAGCTCGGTGACGCAGGGTCCGCTGTTTGCGCTCTTTGTGATGGGCATGCTCTGCCCGCGCCTAAACTCAAAAGTTTGTATTCCGTGCAGTTCAAGGATGTGGGGATAAGTTTCATTCATAGCTTGTATAACTGGCCTTGCAGAGTGCTCTGACTGGCGCCCTGTGCTCCTTCGTCTTCATGACCTGGCTGTGCATCAATGCCCAGCTGGCCGCCCTCTCGGGTGAGCTGCACTACGAGACGAAGCCGGTTAGCGTCGACGGCTGCACCTACGAGTACGATGCGCCGGGCGTGACTCTCGCAAATGCCACATTGACTGCCACGGAGCCAGCGTGAGTTACGACTTGCGCTGCACTCGGTTGTTCAAGTAGTAATTTCTTTCTTTAAAAAAGTTCGCTCAGCTTTTTCCAGCATATCTACTATACATCCTTCATGAACTACACTCTTTTTTCATCTCTTGTGGGCATCCTGGCTGGCCTGTTGTCGAGCCTCGTCTTTGGACGTGTGGAGCTGGAGGATGTGGACGTGGATCTACTGGCGCCCTGCATGCGGCGACTCTATAAGAGCAAATATGCCAGCGTGGAGCTTAATGAGTCCTCATTAAAGTCTGCCTAAATAACATAAAATGTGCCTACGACTTAAGACTTAAGCAATAAAAGTTTTGATTAAGTATACGCCGTGTTTGACTGCAACTTTTATTATACTCTAATCTTTTAATGTGCTCTATATGTGATATATTTGTATAAATGCTCTGTTTTTCTGGTTTTAGGCATGCCACTAACATGCATCATGCACACCGATTCGTTACTAAAAATCTTGTAAATATTTGGTTTGTCTCTGCATTCATTTTATCAATAAGCATTTCATATTGCTCATTAGATAATTAACATATGATTTCTAGTACTTTAAGCTGCGCTACGGCAGCAGCATTCGAAACTTCGGAGCTGTGCTATTCGTCATTGGCATGGTAAGCACCATTTAAATAGATCGGAATTCATATTGAACAATGTTTCATGCAGTTGCTGTGGCTGCCTGTGGCCCTGTATGTGCCTGCCATTACCTACAATCAAGGTGAGTTTTCTCACTCGGTCGCTGGCCTCGACGCTAAAGTTCAACAATTTTAGTGACTGGCACGAGCATCCATGTCATCACGCCCATTGTTTGCATTATTTGCACTTTCTACACGTGTGTGGTGAGATTTAATTAAAACACGGCCTGGCTTGGCATTCATTCGCTCACACACAAAGTGCCGCAATTTCAGGGCGGCCTCAAGGCGGTGATTTGGACAGATGTCATCCAGAGCTTTGTCATGTACGGATCCATTCTGGCAGTCTGCATCAAAGGCACCTACGATGTCGGCGGCCTGGGCGTGGTCTTGCAGCGAAATGAGGACAGCGGACGTTTCAATGCGCCAGAGTAATGATGGCATTTGGTTTACATTGCGAATTTCATTGAGCACTCTGTTTATTTACAGATGGACCTGGGATCCCACCGTGCGGCTGTCTATGGTCTCTGTGATAGTGGGCGGCACTCTGCACAAAATACAATCATCGGATGTCAATCAAGTGTCAATCCAACGCTTTCTCTCCCTGCCCAGCTACAAGCATGCCAAGCAGTGCATGTTCCTCTATACGGTCCTCCTCATATTCCTGCTCAGCTGCTGCAGCTACATGGGCTTGGTCACCTATGCCGTCTACCAGGATTGTGATCCCATTAGCACCGGGGTAAGTCTTGGATGTGCTTGTCTTAACTGCATAGCTATATCGTTAATTATCATTTGAGAGAGTGAACTGGTATATTGGCTTTATGAAATGTTCTCTTTGTTATACATCTTGCTGTCTATCCGGTGGTCCGTCCATCCGACTGGCGTCTTTCGCCGCTATTGAAGCCAGAGACTTAAACATACTCCTATATACCCCCGAAAGGGTTAATATTTTCTCGATGCGCCCAATAGGGTCTGGTATTTCGTATTCTGATATATCAGAAACTGTGGTAGACAGTTGAAACTTGGAGGCCAAGGCTTAAAAGATATGGATTTTACATATTCGACGGCCCCATAAGACGACCTTACAAGGCCGCCTATATTCGACGGACCTCTGTTATGCTTCTCATTTTAATCAAAGAAATACACATTTTCTGTATATTGACGTATATTGATGTATATTGATTTGTCTCCATTAGATTTGTTGGCATCACTTTTTGAATATGACCGCCCGTCTCTGTAAAAAGATATAGGGCTGCCAGATAAGTATCTATGCCCTTTGAGCAAGCCCTACCCTTTTTATTGCCCTTTGGCTTGTAAAATCGGGAAATCCTGTTACCGTTTAAGACCTAGAAACTGACGATTTTCTTTGCACGAAAATAATTCATGCCCATTGGGGGCGTGGCAAAACTGAAAACTGACTTAGCACAATTCGGCCCGTGAATGAGCATGCTGCAGTCGATAACGCCCGACTTCAACGTTTATACTTCTATCTATATTATAAGAAGTCCTCTGTGCTGGCAACTTCATCTATTTCCTTAGAGTCTTTTCTATGACCTTTCTCCAGCTTGCCAAGGCCAGCGATCAGTTGCCTTCGCTGCTGATGATGCGCACCTTGGGCTCGTTTCCTGGTCTGCCTGGGCTGTTTGTGGCTGGCGTGTTTAGCGCCGCGTTAAGTTCGCTGTCCACGGGACTCAACTCGATGGCATGCGTGATCTCACAGGATGTGGTGCGGCCGCTGCTCAAGAAGCCGTTGACGGAACGCCAAACCGGTTTGCTGCTGCGCGCCATCGTCGTCTTCTTTGGCCTGAGCTGCATGGGTCTGGTCAATGTGGTGGAGAAGCTGGGCATGGTGCTGCAGCTGGCCACCACCACCTCGGCTGTGTCCATGGGGCCGCTGCTGGGGATCTATGCCATGGGCGTGTGTCTGCCCTGGGTGAATGCGAAAGTTAGTCTTTCCCCAATTGCATTCAGAAAGGACTCACTAACGCAAGGTCTCTTTCCAGAGTGTCATGACTGGCAGTCTGGTGTCCTTTGTAGTCCTGGGCTGGATCTGCGTCAAGGCTCAGCTGGCGCAAATGCAGGGCGAGATTCGGTATCCAAAGATGCCAGTCTCAGTCTCGGGCTGTGATTACGCCTTTGACAATGCGACCGTCTGGCGCACTCTGCATGAGTACAGGTAAGTATGAGGAAGTTACCAGACTAATAAAATATATATTTTGTTCCATTCGCAGTCCCTCAACAGATCGTAACATATATCATCTGTCGTTCTTCTGGTACACTGCACTGGGCGGACTAATTTGCACTGTGGTCGCCCTGCTGGCGAGCCTCGTCTTTGGCTGGCAGGATGTGTCTGAAATGGACCCGGCCCTGGTCACGCCCTGCATGCGTCGCTTCCTGCCCAAGAAACAATATGAGGCTGTGGATCTCGAGGAGCTCTTTAGGCGCAAGGCTGATCCTACTGCAGAGAAGCCTTGAACATAAACTACGATGAAAGCTACTTGCTAATAAATTGTTGCTTTGATATTCTAAAACAGTTTTTTATTTCCCATCAAATTAACAATTTTGTTTTATATGATTATTATGTTTTTCATTTGAATGAATGTTAGCTTTTAATAAATTTTAATTATTATTTTGTTGCTATATAGATATATTTTATTTTTCATTTAATTAATTACCTTCTTCATGTTTTTTATTTGTTTTTTTATTTTTATTTTATTTTATTTTTTACTATTATTGTTCCTTTTGTTGTATCCTTACTGTGCTCTGCAGTACTTTGAGAGACGTTTTGATCGACGTGTTCGTATCTTTGGATCCTGCCTATATATGATGAATGTGAGTGCTCCGATTGAGTGTTTCAACTTGAATGGTTATTATTATTTTTTCTTTATATTTACAGGTACTTTGGCAACCGATATGTATCTATGTGCCTGCTCTAACTTTGAACGTTGCTTAGTTCACTAAGCTATTCTTAATTATATTATATCATTAACTAATTTATATGTTATATGTTATATGACAATATATTTGATAGCTTTTTCTTTATTTTAAGTTTCTGGCATTAGTGTCCTTTTGATCGTGCCACTAACCAGTCTGATATGCATTTTCTATACGAGCATAGTAAGTTCAGAACTTATATACATCCACTTCAATTGCTGACTTTTCCGATTGTGCAGGGCGGCATTAATGGCGTCGTTTGGACAGATGTCATACAAGGAGTAGTCATGATTGGCGGCATGGGCTTTGTCATAGTCAAGGGCACTGCGGACTTGGGTGGTTTGTCGGTGGTGCTGGAATGCAATCGTCAATTCGAGCGCTTGGTGGATCCCGAGTAAGTTGTTTCTATTTTACTAACCTCGCCTTCTCCTTAAATGTATTGCACTTCTCTCATTCGCCAGCATGACACTTGATCCGATGGCTCGCATGGGCGTGTTAGCCTTGTTTATGGGCGGCTCCTTCTTTAAGCTGCAGGCCAATTGCATTAACCAGACGGCAGTCCAGCGTTTTATAAGCAGGCGCTTTTATTGTGTCTGATAGGCTTCATGCTTGGGATGGCCATGCGCATCTATCTCGGCGTGCTCGCCTTTGCCGCCTACTACCATTGTGATCCCATCACCACGGGTGTGAGTTTTCCCCTTCCATTTATTTATTAATATTTATTTTTATTGTTAATAAGATTATAAGTATAGGTTAAGCTGTCACAACATCCATTAATCTTCAGCTCTCATTCCCTTTTGCAGCTGGCACGTGCCAAGGATCAGGTGATACACTTGTATGTGATGCAAAGCGCTGGGATGGTGCCCGGCATTGTGGGCCTGTTTGTTGCCGGCGTGTTTAGTGCCGCACTCAGCTCGCTCTCCACCGCACTCAATTCATTGTCGGCGGTGGTGCTGCAGGACTTTGTCGAGCCCCATCGCAGTCGCCCACTGACCGAGCGTCAGACTGCCTATAAGCTGAGAGGCATGGTCGTCGTGTTTGGGCTCATCTCAATGGCGAGTGTGCCCATTGTGCAGAAATTGGGCATAGTCATGCAGCTATCGTTCACAGTGGCTGCCATCACCTGTGGCCCCCTGCTCGACGCCTTTTCAGTTGGCATGCTCCTGCCGTTCGTTCGCTCAGCTAACCAATTATTGCCCCATTTATGTTTCTATTGCAGAGTTTGTTAACGGGCATCAGCCACCAGCTTCACAGCTTACATCGTTGTGCGAGCACAGATTGCCATGGCCACCGGCCAAATGATTTTCCTCACCAAACCCGTTTCCGTGGAGGAGTGCAACTACAGCTTCGAGCTGCGCTCCAACTGGAATGCAACGACCAGCGCGTATGGCTCTCATTTGACAGCCTAAATATGTTATATTCCTAACATTTCAATTTGTGCTTATAGAACGCCCCCCGAGGCCGAGAGTCACAGCCTGCATGAGCTCTCGTTCCTGTGGTACACCATGATTGGCTCTGTGGGCATGCTGCTCTGCTCGCTGCTGGCCACGCTCTACTTTGGCAAGCAGGATGTGCGCCTGGTCGACAAGGAGCTGGTTACGCCAATTTTGCAGAGCTATTGGTATGGAGCGTACGCGATGATGCAGAAACTAAGCAGCTGGAGCTGCACGAGCAAATTAAGCTGGAGGGGAAGACGGACCCGAGCCCAAACTGATTCGATTCAATAATAAATATTGTTGCAAACAGCCGTGACCTTTGTAGTTTTGCATTAGCCTTAAGCTCTGTTCTGTGGCGTATTTAAATTTAAATTGTTTTCAGCTGGTTACATTGACTGGGCTACCAATACATACATAGATACTTATACAAGCTCACTCTTTCAGTACTTTGAGAGACGTTTCAGCAGGCGAATGCGTTTATTTGGGGCCTCGCTCTTCGTGCTCAAGGCGGTAAGTGAATGCCCAGGGAGAGACAGTTCCTGACACACGTGTAACTAAGGTATCTTTGCGCTTTACAGATCGTTTGGCTGCCCATCGCTGTATATGTGCCGGCGCTGACCTTCAACCAAGTCAGTGGCATTGGCGTGCATACCATAACACCGATTGTGATTATCATTTGCACCTTCTATACGACGGTCGGCGGCATCAAGGGCGTTGTCTGGACAGACGCCGTGCAGAGTGTGATCATGTATGGCTCCCTGGTGGTCATTATGATCAAGGGCACCATAGACGTCGGCGGATTCGGTGTGCTCTGGCAGCGCAACTTGGACGGCGGTCGCCTCAACATGCCTGAGTGAGTCGAGCGAAGGTGAATCAAAATCTCGGAGACAGTTTATGAATGAGAGTTTTTTTTTTCTTTATATAGATATAGCCTGGATCCCACGGTGCGCATGAGCGTCTTATCGGTTTTCGTTGGCGGCACTTTTTTCAAGTTGCAGAACACTTCGATCAATCAGGCGACCATTCAGCGCTTTATGTCGCTGCCCTCCCTGAAGCACATCAAGCAAACGCTGTTCACCTTTAGCATCGGCTTGACCCTGCTCTACATGGGCTGCATCTATGTGGGTCTGGTGTGCTATGCCGTGTATTATGACTGCGATCCGATGGCCACGGGAGTGAGTTTGACATGTAGCTCCTTCAGAGTTTCGTCTTACAGTTTGTCCTTTGCTTATCTCTGCAGCTGGCTGGACGTCGGGATCAGCTTGTGCCACTTCTGGTGATGCGAGTGCTGGGCGTTGTGCCCGGCCTGCCGGGTCTCTTTGTGTCGGCCGTGTTCAGTGCCGCGCTCAGCTCACTCTCAACGCTACTCAACTCCTTGGCCGCCGTCATACTCGAAGACTTTGTGAAGCCGCGCATGAGAATGATCAAGAGGCCCATGACGGAGCGCACTGTAGCCCTGACTATGCGTCTGGTGGTGGTCGTGTTTGGCATCAGTTCCATATTCATGGTCTATGTGGTTGAGCATCTGGGCATGGTGCTGCAGCTGTCAGCCTCGCTGCAGTCCAGCCTGTACGGTCCCATGCTGGGCATCTTCACTGTGGGCATGCTAATGCCCTGGGTGGGAGAGAAGGTTTGTTCACATCAACTGAAGTCAAGAATATTTACAATTGAATTTTTATACATTTTCAGAGCATGTTTCTGAGCAGCATCGTATCGTTTGCTATCATGGCTTGGATTGTGGTCAATGCACAAATAGACAATCTCACGGGCTCCTTCCGTCATAAGAAGCTGCCAGTTTCCGTGGAGAACTGCACCTACGACTTCGATATGAACCGTTATCTGAATTCAACATCCGAATTGTAAGTGTGTGAGAATATTTTATTTTATATTTGATATTTGATATTTGATATTTGATATTTGATATTTGATATTTGATATTTGATATTTGATATTTGATATTTGATATTTGATATTTGATATTTGATATTTG